CCCAAATATTTTCTGGAACTGGTAAAGGCATATACAAACCAATGTTCTGGGACTGCCCCTTGGCAGTTTGACATATGTAACATTGTTGTACAAACCTTGTCATGTCTCTCCTCAAATGTGGCCAATAATATATATCACCAACAGTAAGCGTTTTGTCACGCCCTAGGTGACCAGCAAGACCTCCACCATGCAAATCTCGAATAAGCTTCTCTCTCAAGGAAATTTTAGGGAAGCAAAGCTAGTTGCCTCGCATGAGAAACCTGTAATGAATGTGGAAATCTTCAGCAGGTTGGTTTGTAACACACTGCTCCTATATTTTTAGAAAATCTTCATCCGTTTCATACATTTCCTTCACTGTCTCAAACCCCACAACTTCCTGTCTCATGGTTACCAATAAATCAGCACATCTACTCAATGCATCTGCAACTTTATTATGTATTCATGCTTTTTGTCTTAGCTTGAAAGGAAATTTCTGTAGAAACTGAGTCCACTTGGCATGCATGTCTCTACTAGTTCGCTTTTTACTATTTAAATACTTCAAGGCTTCATGGTAAGAGTACTGAACAAACTCATGCCCCACTAAATAGTGCTCCCAAGTCTTCAAAGCACACACAATAGAATAAAACTCCTTATCATTCGTAGTCCATTTACGCCTCGCATCGCTAAGTTTCTAACTGAAATAAGCTACTTGCCTCTTATTTTGTGAAAGGAAAGCTCCTATTCCCACACCACTAGCGTCACACTCAACTTCGAACAAGGCCTCAAAATTGGGCAATGCATAATTTCTCCTTTAACATAGCAAAGCTAGTTTCAACTTCCTCACTCCATTAGAACTTCCCTTTCTTCAGACATTCTGTAATAGGTGCTATGATACTACTGAAATTTTTGATAAAACGCCTGTAGAAGGTCGCAACCTATGGAAACTTTGGACATCACTATTTTTGGGCTAGGCCATTCCCTAATTGCTTGAATCTTCTCTTCATCCACTTAAATACCATCTGCCCCAACAATATAGCCTAGGAACAACAACCTATTTTTCATAAAACTGCACTTCTTCAGGTTCACGTACAACTTGTTTTTCTGCAAAACTGTTAGTACCTTGTGCAAGTGTTGAATGTGCTCTTCATCTGCTTAACTATAAATAAGAATATTGTCAAAATAAACAACTACAAACTTTCCAATAAAAGGTTTCAGTACCTGATTCATTACTCTCATAAAAGTACTTGGCACATTCGTCAACCCAGATGGCATCACAAGCCACTCATGCAAGCCCTCATTTGTCTTAAGAGTTGTTTTCCAGTCGTCCCCTGGTCTAATTCGAATTTGGTGGTATCCATTCTATAAATCAATCTTCGTAAACACTTGTGCCCCATGTAACCTATCAAGCATGTCATCCAGCATAGGAATCAGAAACTTGTACCCTATAGTAATTTTATTGATGGCCCTGCTATCCGCACACATCCTCCAACTCCCATCTATATTTGCTGTTAATAAGGCAGGAATTGCACATGGACTCATGCTCTTCTTGGATGTACCCTTTTGTCAGTAATTCCTCCACATTTTCCTTTAAAATCTTGCTCTCCTTTGGACTTATCCTGTAATGAGGTAGGTTCGGCAAACTAGCTCCAGGAATTAGATCAATATGGTGTTGAATATCCCTTATAGGTGGTAAACCATCAGGTAAATCCTCTAACATCACCTCGCTAAATTCTTCTAACAGTGGCTTGACTGCTTTTGGGTACTCCTCTGTGTTCAACTCCTCTTCAGTGGTCAATACTTGCTTCACAATCAATGTATGCATCACCTTTGACGCTTTGAAAGCAGCTTCTAACTCTGATCTAGAATGTGTAACAATAAAGAAGGTCCGCCCCTCCACTTTAAAAGCTTTGGTTTTGGAACTCTTTTTCATTGGCAGCAAGGTGAATTTGATGTTATCTTTCTCCAACTCATAGGTATTTTCTCTTCCATCATGTTGTGTTGCCACATCGAATTGTCATGGTCTACCAAATAATAAATTGCAAGCATCCATATCTATAACATCAAAATACACTTCATCCCTATATTGCCACCGTTCTGTTACTTGAATTTTCCATGCTGCCTTAATCCACCCAATAGTGTATGCGTTGGGGTGCTTCTTAGTTTTCAGACCCAATTTCTCAATGTCTTTGCTAATAATATTTTCACAACCACCACTGTCAATAATCACATCAAATAAAAGTTTAGTGATAGTGCACCTGGTTCGAAATAATTGATGTCGCTGGGTGTTGTCCTCTTGTTTTGATGTCAACATCAGTCTCCTTACCACATAGTTCTGACCATTATCTTCATCATCATCATCCCCATCTGGACCACAATAAACTTCATTATCCGCTTCTTCTTGTTCCACAACATGGACAACTTTTCTGAGAGAACAATTGCTTGATCTATGACCAGGTTGGTTACATTTGAAACACTTCCCAAGGATCGGTTTCGCATAGGGATTTTCAGCTTTCTACCTTTCCTTTGCATCTATTATCTTCTATTTTCCAACCGCCCTTTCTTTTCTGAACCGATCATTGCATGTAGGAACATCCTGACTTGCCTTATTCTTTTCATTATTTGTTCTATAATTCTCCCTGCTGTAATTCTTGCATGAATAATCTGGTCTACTCTTCTCTTGCAACAACAATTCAAACTTTAATGCAAAGTTTCGTGCCTCTGCTAAATTCCACATTACTTGCACCCCTATTTTGTCTTTGATAACTGCTTTCAAACCCTCCAAATATTTAGCAACCTACTGGCCTTCAGTCTCCCTCAAGTCATTCCTTTCTGTCAACCTCATAAACTCTGCATTATAATCATGCACATATTTCTGTCCTTGATGACATCTCTGGTACTGTTGGAACAAGATCTGTTCATAATTAGGAGGAAGAAAATCCCTTTGTAACAATTGTTTCATTCTATAACATGTTCTAACTGGTGCTTTCCCCTTACAAAATCTTCTGGCCTATAATCTTTCCTACCAGGCAGAAGCTCCTCCCTTTAATCTAAATGCAACCAGTTTCACCCTTTTCCCCTCTAGGATCTTCATATATTCAAAAAACCTATCTACTTCTGCCATCCAATCTAAAAATTCCTCAATATCTAAATTTCCCTTAAAGCAAGAGATATCTACCTTCAATCTGAATTTGTTGAGTTCTCTGTCACAATACTGATTTCTGCCATACCCAACGCTCCTTTCAGGTTCTACATAATAATCATCTTCTTCGTCTAACTCTTCCACGTAAACTTGTTGTCTATGTCTATTTGCAAAAACAGGTTTGCCAATAGGCTGTCCGTGAGCAGCATCATCCTCAGTACGTTGCCTTTCATCAATCCTATTTTTGTTGGCATTTACGCTCAAAGCATCAAGTCGATCTACAATTTCTTCAAAGCGTCATTCCAAACGTTGGAATCTGAGATCCATTCGCTGCTCCAAAGCTCTCAACGCCACCCCTTGGGAGGTCTCAACTCCCTGATCTTCGCCATGAGAACTGCTGCCACCTACAACTTCATCACTTGCCATTAGATTAGACGAATTTTGCCTGCTCTGATACCAACTGACACGGCGAGTTAGCGAAAAAAACCAAGGCTAGCACTTGACTATACCTTTAGGGTTGATAAACAAGTCTCAATTCAGAAACTTAAGCCTCAAAGTCTGAGATAAAATTTAAATGATTCATTTCATAACATCCAAAACGAAAAATAAGTTTATATAGGGTGACAACCAACGTTAATAAGACTCCTAATAACAAAAGGAAACAAAATCTAAATTAATTAAAACAAGAAAACCCGAAATAAAACAGGAAAAAAAGCACAAACAACCTGAAACATGCCAAAATGGTGGATTTTGACCTTGAAAACGACCTCCAACTAGCTAAAGCGGTTTGCCACATCGTTGGGTTGGAAAAGAGATTTCTGTCAATATCTTACGGGTCTGGTAACTCCTCCGGATCAACAGTAATGGTCGTTTGAATGTGATATTCTCATTTAGAATCTTTGGGCTTTATGTATGTGCTTCTTACGCTCATCCCACTCTATGAATTCATCCGCTATACGTTCTACATTATTTATAAACCTTGAAGTTAGATTTTATGGAGGTTTAGAAAGCAAAGAGATTGGAGAAAATTAGCTTAGTTGAGAAGTGGTTTGTGTTGGGAAAATGAAGAGAATTGTATGTATTTATATTCGGGAAGAGTAGTCAAGAGACAACAAAGGAAGGAATAATTATAAAGAGAAAGTTCTTGCATGTTGACGCGGTTTTAGCCCTGAAATTGACTCCATGTTCACTAGATATTGGTTAAGCTGTTGAACTGTGACTATGAGAAATATTGTGGTATTCAAAATTGGTGGGACGACCCAGTTTTAATTTATAGCTATAGGTCACATATTGGGTATACTCATTTGTCATGGAATAATTGACTAATTGAGCTGGATTCTATTGACTGAAGACCCTTGTAACCAATAAGTAGCAATTGGTCCAAAAAGTCACAAAAGTGTGACTCTAGCCTAGTTGATTCAAATTGAACGATACAAAGCATAAGTTGACAAATGACAAATTCGGAGTTTCATTTTTATTGATAAGTCTGATCTTTTACTAAAAGAGTCATTTTGACCTACTTTTCTTTTCAATCTTAGATAACAAATTTGGGATTAAGCTAGCTCAAATCAGAATTAGGAGTTTTGTTTTAACTTAATCTATTACAAAGAATTATTTTGACCCTGTAACTGTCTTGAAGTCAAGGTTTAATTCCTTTAAAGAATATTTTAAAGGCTTTGAAAGTGTCTTTTGTTAATAAATATGGATTTATGAGACACATCTACCAGAATGATTTTCCTGGAAAGACTACATGCAGTCTGAAATGCAAGACAACTCCATAATAGGTAAAGTAAATATCAAATAACAGGACCAGAGGAAGGAATAAAAAATTCAGGTTATTGCTAAAAGTTGAACATATTATATTAAATAAAGAGTCAATAAGGCAGATAGATTCATCAATCCCATATCATATTCATCAAAAGTATAACGATAACATCTGGAAATGTCTATGATGATGCAAGTTATTCAAATTATCCAGATAGTTCTGTAGCCTGTTTTCACCTCCTATCACGTAGTCACTGTAGGCTTAAGACTTCAATCTCAAACTCCAGGACTGAATTAGGTTGAATTCCCCATGCTGGAAATCCACCAGCACCATAAGCATAATCTGGAGAACACTGCAAATTCATAGAAGGGGATCAGCAGATATCAGAGAAGAATACGAGCTACGCCAACACATGACAGCTTTTACAACTAGATAACTATTTCTGAAAGCAAAACAAATGCTAATGAGCATGGCAACAAATTCGAAATATTATTGAAATTATCTAGCAATAAGTAGATTCCATGATTGAGAACATAGTCCAGGAAATATATTGGAAGTAGAAAAGACACTGGCATTGGAAGAAAAAATAAAAAAGGGACACTGTTGAAGCAAAGACGGAGTTACTACTAATGAAAATCAGGGCCATGAATAAAAAAATTTATGTCTGTTTGCAAGCATACTACAGTTGTAATATCATTGAAGAATTATGTAGCCATCTGATAATTATTAGGCAAAAGGTCCAGATATATGAATTCTGGTGATGGGTTTGGGAAGTACCAGCTATGTATGGGTATCAAACACTCAATTTGTAAGAGAGAGCTACACACCTTGCAAAATTTAGGCTTTGGTTTAGCAACAATAATTTGACAAATATGTCATGATGCAAATAAATTCAAAACCAAAATGAAAATGAAAATCCAAACAGTTAATGAAACAACTATATTTAATGACCAGGGTCCTCAACAAAATATAGAAGGATCAAGTACAGTTATCTACTGAAAAAAAAAAAAAAGAAAAACACGCCAAATATTTCCCTAGGTATCGCCAAGCATCAAAAACTGTAATATGATACTGCATTGTCATAAGTATTGCTCCGTATATTTTTATTAGTGTTTAAAATCACAGCCATTATATTCATGTATCAAACCAAAGCATAATTAACAGAGAAAGTGGTATAGAAGAAAAGTGAAAAATGGTTAATAGAATGGAAAAGTACCCGCAGACGAGCAACCTCTCCCACTTGCATTCCCAACACACCTTCATCCCATCCTACAAATTAATCAAACACATTCAAACAGTTCACCAAGTTAGTTTGAAGAATATCATATCAGCAATGTTTATTTAGTCTAAAATATATGAATAGAAAAGAAAAGAGAAAGTCATGACCATCTTAGAAAAGCACGATTCTTAACTTGGGATATCTTGAAAACAGGAGATATCCCTGTCTGAAAAAATAATTGCATGACTATAGCGCCCCTATTAAATATAAATTAGAATATTCTAAAAAACACTGTTTTAGTGCCAATTCAAATGTCAAGAAACTGTTGGAAGAAGTTAACAAAATCATCATAAACGTTGATGAGTATACAAAAATACTGAAATGCAACTTGTGTACGAAAAAGTTTCCAATATATGTATTAAAAGCAAAGTGGAGTACATAAATATTTGTCATCCCCTAAAATGTCATTGAGGACAACATGCAGGGTTTTTTCAGTACAAACAAAATAGTTGGATCTATAGGAAGATAAATTTCTCAGGTCAAAAAGGTAAAGTTCACAAGAAACTGCTTTCTCGCTTGAGAAAATAATCAGAAGAATGGTATATGCAGTTAAAACTCTGATGGGACCAACAACACATTAGTGTATGGGAGGAAAAATAAAGGTGTAAAAAAGGGGATGAGGGACTAATTATCAGGCTGTACATGTGAGTGTGTGGGTGGTATTAGGTTTATGAGAGAGTGACAAGTGGCAAGTGAAGATTGATGGGGAGCTGAATTCGGTTATAGTAAGAGAGTACAAAGAATAAAAGAGAATGTGAAGGATCTGTCTGGGAAGATTGGAAAATAGTAAAAAGGGAAAGGGGTTGGGGTTGGGGAGGTGCTGGCCCTCGAAGTCCAGCGGGTTTCTTTGTTCTTAGCAAATTCATCTTAAATGGTTTGGTTTATGTTTATCTTCTGTTATGCTGAATTGTAGTTGTAGATGAACTGTTATTAAAGTAGCGTTGTCACAGAGGTTCTATTCAATATATAAATTGAGGTTATTCAGTATCGCTTGTGTTCTTCAATTGTTTTGAAGTGATTAAACTGTTCTGGTGTGACTGAAATTTCTAGGTTGTTGACTATTAGAGTTTCAGAAGGTTGTTTGTGAGTGATCTTTTGCAAGAGAAGCTTAGGGTTTCTAACAAAGTGGTATCAGAGCAAGGTTATGGTTGGGACTAGAATGGAGAATAGGGTTGATAATATTGAGAGAGAATTGGGTACGATTAGAGATTGTCTAGTGGAGCTGCAGGCGTGGATGAGACGGAAAGATGGAGAAGCTAGAAGAGGAGAAGGGAGTAGGTCGACTGAATTACATGGTGGGGACGAACCAAATAGGGGGGGAATGACAATCAAGATAATCAGGGACAAGGAAGACCAGAGCATGGTACCCGAAAACTAGATGTATTGCTTTTTTCAGGAGATGATCTGTATGGTTGGCTATTTAGGATCGAGAGGTACTTTAGGGTGTATCGAATCACAAAGGAGAAGGAGCGACTAAACACGATTGCGGTGTGCATGGAAGGCGAAGCGGTGAATTGGTTTCAATGGATGGAAGTTCGAGCTCCGGTGAACTCTTGGGCCACTTTCAAACTCTCCCTTATCCATAGGTTCAGTGGATCTCAAGAGGAAGGTCCTTATGAAGCTCTAATGGCGATCAAACAAACGGGAACTGTTAAGAAGTATCGTCGAAAGTTTGAGGCAACCTTTACTCCATTGCGTGAGGTTAGGGAAGACATTTTATGGGCTGCCTTTATTAATGGGCTTAAGCCCGGGATCAAAGCTAAGGTGAGACTGAGCAAGCCTGAAACTTTAGTCCAACTGATAGAGTTAGCCCAAAAGATCGAAGAAAAGAATTAGGCTTTCGATGAGCTTAAGAGTGGGTTGAATAAGTGTTCACGAGCTAGTGGGCTTAATGGGATAAATAAAAGCTTTAGTTCTTTTGGGCTTGGGTCGGGTCGCCAATTAGTATTCAATAACAATGGGTTTCGATCACAAAACTACCAGCCCTCGTTCGCAAACACACCCAAAACAAGCATCCCTCAGGATCAACAAAAACGACTTCCAAGTGTTAATCCAACCAATAGTCAAAGAGGTAGCAACTCCACGATGAATCAACCCTTAGAGCAGAGTCCTTCTATTCGAAGAGAGTTTCCATTTAAACACATGACTAAGAATGAGACTCAGAAGAAAAGACAGAGAGGTTTGTGCTTTAGGTGTGATGCAAAGTTTTTTCCTGGTCACCGTTGTGAAGAAAGATAGTTTCAAGTCATCCTTGTGGATGAAGAGGAGGAAGAAACCGAGCCTGTTAGGGTGGGAGAAACAAACGCAGAGTCCGAGGAGGCTGCCCAGAATGACATCAAACTGTCACTCAACTCTATGGTGGGAATTAACGGACCACGAACCATGAAATTAAAGGATAAGATTCAAGATACATAATTAATTGTTTTGATTGATAGTGGGGCATCTCATAATTTTATTAGTAGGAGGATAGTTGAGAAATTAAAGGTACCTGTCACTAGAACGCAGTCATTTGGAGTAAGAGTAGGGGATGGTTATCGGGTGAGAAGTGAGGGTGCGTGCCGAGGAGTTTGTATTGATCTTTAAAGAGTCCCGGTTGTGCTGGATTTTTTCCCATTCGACATGAATAGCTCGGATGTGGTGTTAGGAATGGCTTGGTTAGAGACATTGGGGGAAACAACTATAGATTGGAAGACCCAAGTAATGAAATTCAAGGATAAGGGCAAAACCGTGAAACTCTGTGGTGACCCGACTTTCAGCAAGACATTGGTATCCTTGAAAGCTATGTTGAAGACAACACAGAAAGAAGGGCAGGGGTATTTAGTGGAATTCGGCTCTTTGCAAAAACAGCCAGATGATGGGGATGACATGGACAATAAGCTGCTTGAAGTATTGGAGCAGTTTCAGTCGGTATTTAACCCTTTAGTTGGATTACCCCCCACTAGGAACCATGAAGACGCCATTAGGCTCTTACCCAATGCCCAACCACCAAACAACCGACTTTACCGTTATCCTTACTACCAAAAAAATGAGATCGAGCGAATTGTGAGAGAAATGTTAGCTTCAGGCATTATCAAACCGAGAGTGAGCCCATTTTCTAGTCTAGTGTTACTTGTCAAGAAGAAAGATGGAGGATGGAGGTTTTTGTTGACTATCGAGCTTTAAACAAATTGACCGTTCTGGACAAATTCCCAATTCCTGTGGTGGACGAGTTATTTGATGAATTGGGTGGGGCTACAGTCTTCTCCAAATTGGATTTGAAATCGGGGTACCACCACATTAGAGTGAGAGAAGAAGACACCCCTGAGATCGCTTTTAGGACACATGAAGGGCATTATGAATTCCTAGTCATGCCCTTCGTATTAACCAACGCTCTGACAACTTTCCAAGCTCTAATGAATGATATCTTTCGGCCGTATTTGAGGAAATTTATTCTAGTGTTTTTTTTATGACATTCTCGTGTACAATAAGACCATGGAAGAGCACGTGCAACACCAAAAGATCACCCTACAGACACTTCAAGAGAATCAGTTATTTGCCAACCACAAAAAATATTTCTTTAGGCAGCAAAAACTCGTGTATCTGGGGCACATTATATTGTCGGAAGGAATAACAGTTGACTCTTCAAAAATTGACAGTATTCTTCAGTGGCTAGTTCCAAAAAATTTAAGAGCTCTCCGGGGATGCCTTGGCTTGACAGGGTATTATCCGCAGTTTGTTAAGGGGTACAGCAAAATTGTGATTCCTCTGACTACACTATTAAAGAAAGACGCATTTAAATGGAACAGTGAAGCACAGAGGACATTCGAAGAATTGAAGCAGATCATGACTTAAATACCAGTTTTGGCAATACCGATTTTTTCAAGGAATTCGTGATTGAGACAGATGCTTCAGGACATGGTTTAAGGGTTGTTCTGATGCAAGAGGGCAGGCCATTGGCATTCTTGAGTAAAGGGTTGTCGTTGCAGTCCAGACTTAAGTCCGTCTATGAGAGGGAACTTATGGCCGTGGTCATGGCAATCCAGAAATAACGGCACTATTTATTAGGCAGACACTTTGTGATAAAAATGGACCAGAGGAGTTTACACTTCCTAAATGAATGGCTATTGAGTGAAGACTAGCAAAGATAGGTGATGAAACTGAAAGGGCTCCGCTTTGAAGTGATTCAATTGTTCTGGTGTGATTGGAATTTCGGGGTTGTTGACTATTGGAGTTTCAGAGTGATCTAGGTGCTTGTTTGTGAGTGATCTTTTGCAGGAGAAGCTTGGGGTTTCTAACAAACTCCCATCTAAAAAGCAGTCTCATCTAATGCCACCAAGAAATTCAAATGCAAAGCATAATTGAAGGGAATGATTAAAGCAAATACTACCAGTATATTCTTCACATATTAAATTTCCTTGTCCTATTTGTAATGCTAATATTATAGAAAGATACTGACAACTGTAAGTAATTTTTCTTGAATAATACTAAAATTTCAACAAAACAGCCATTTATTTATAAAAAATGACATGTTATTATTTTTAAACCTTTATTGGAGAAAATTTAACTCTACCATGGACAAGAAAAAAGTAGGCGAAGAATACCATAGACTTACCTTTTATAACAGAACCTTGGCCAATTTGGAAACTAAAAGGCTGCTGCCCAGGATCCTTAGTGCTGAAATAAAAGAAATGGTGAATATAAGTAATCCAAATGACAAAGACAAACCTGGATGATCTGACATTCCAAATGTAGTAAAAGTGTACTGGAAAAATCCTCACCTCCAGAACTTTTGAGAGAGATCACCATTTTTGCCTGTAGCACAGAAAACTAATAAGGTGTAGAAAAGATAGGGAAACTAACTATTCAAAACAGTCCTTTCACTATCATTTCTTACAAAGGTTGCAGTTCTCTACCTCACATAACCCCTTTGCAATCTTTCTGCTAACCCAAACTCATAGCAATTTGCTAGGAAATACCTATGCCAGTCTAGGATATAACACTACATGCCTTATACAGTCAATTGACAAATAAAAAAATATGCCAAACTTTAACGATCAAATTATATGGTTCAATGCAACTATAGTTTAGTACATTATATTAACGATCAAACTTGTAACAAACATGAATTCTGACTTAAACGCACAGCCATCTTTCCGACTTGATAACATAGCAAGACTGAACAAAAACACTCAATAAAGCATATAATATCTTCTAATTCAGTTGAATTAGTGAATGGTTGAAGCCAACAAGCCCCAAAGAAAGGCTACTGAACTTACATTTGACAAATCTTATCGAAATCTCAAATTTTCTATTATAAAGGAAAAGATCTAGCCTAATATTCTCACCATTGTAATACTAAAACAAATAATATATAAATGAATAATGTAAACAAAAACCCAAAATCAATTTAGTCTACTACAGTTTCTCGGCAACCAAGCAGTAAGGACTAACCATAACCGGTGCAGTGAACGGTGACCTTCTGGCCGGCAGTTGGTTTGGGGCCGGTTCCGGGGGTCAAAATTTGCTTCTCTACTCCCATCGCTGTTATCTAGGGTTTTGGATTTTTGATCCTCTTTTATTTTAATAAATGAAAATCGTATGTATAATATATAGATGAGGTTACTACTTTTTAGGCGTTTCTAGAAACTAAATAGATCGCTCAGGGGGACTCTGAAATTTTCTGAAATTCATGGATACTGATAATTTAGCGGTCTTGTAGGGGTGAATGTAATAATTTAGTTAAAACTTTACAAGTAATTTTTTTTGACTGCATAGTTTTGGAAGAAAGGACTCGGTTCCTCACAAATTATCCCGCAAAATAGATGGGAAAATTATTTAATAGACTATTCTGGAGGGGTTGAAAATGATCACATGCTGAAAGCTCTTCCAGACCCTTCTCCAATTTAGTTTTTTGGGATTGTTGTGTGTGATTTTTTCATCAAGCTCGGAATATCATGAGGTTATAGCTCGACCCGAAAACAGCTTGAATTCATCGATAGTCCGACCTAGCGTAAGCTCGTCGAGTTACAGCTTGACTCAACACAAGCTAGTTGCGAACAATCCGTGCGATCATTCAACCAACTCTCCAATAATTTCAGATCCCATATATCTTGAAAGAGATCAGATTGACAACAATCTTTGTGCAATTATAGCGTCCAATCGTGAGAATATTGGGGTTGCATTTCAATTCAATTGTAATCCATTTATTTTCGCTATTTCCTTTGTACAAACTATGTATGTAAACCCCCTCAAACAATGAGAGAAGGGTTGGAAATTATTCCTAGAATTACTATTGTAAGCTTTCACAGCAAATACAAAAAATAATGGACGTAGGCTCAAGAGTTTACCGCGCCGAACCACTTTAAAAATCTCTTTGCCATTTTCTTTACTACATTCATTATTCATTCATTATTGGTTACTCGTAATCACGCACACACCATATTCGATCCCGCCAAAGTTGATCAGATCACTCGAGTTGGTGTAGATTTTTGTATCAACATTTTGGCGCTAAAAGGAAGGGCCCGCCAACTTTTCAAAAATTCCGGCAAACAGCCATAGCGATCTAACTACTTCAGGCCTATGATGGTGCGTACAAGATCAAAAACCACCATCGGAAACCACAACGATGTGGAGATCACCCATCAGGAGGTGCACCAAGACACCGTCGGGTGTCAACCACTATTGTCGCCATCTCAGCATGCCATGAATAACTAGGATAGGGACGTCAAACCTAAAAAATGGCCAATTGGTAGAGATGATCAGAATAATGGTTGCATAGGCGGTGCAACAGAACGTGGCTGAGTTGAGAAATCAACAACCAATTGCCCAAACCTTGACTAGTCGAGTTTCACTAATACCACCCCAATGAGTCAGAATTCAACAAGAGACCAGTTTGGCTCATCGGCGCCAAGAGGTGACCAACACCCTCGACGTCACATAGTGCACTCCACTCACCAACGTGAGTCTCGTGGGCAAACTAACCTAGGGAGGCAGCTAGGGAAGCAACCAATGGGTGAAAGTAGAGGTAATGATCACCCACGAGACACGTAACCTACTCGGCGGTATCCCCAGCGTTAGTATGCTAGTCTTAACCCATGCTCAAAGCAAGCTAGACCCTCACAAGCTGGCAAGACGAGTAATATGCACCAATCTAGCAATGACCAACTTTCCGATTATAACTGATGTCGTGAGCAACACACTGACGAGCATGATAACACTTATCAACCAAGCCATTATGACTTAACTTCACGCATCAACGCATGTAATGAAGGGGGTTCACAAGAGACAAATTTGCGAACTCGCTTGCTTAACGTAAGGCTGAATATAGTCAGCCAAGGCAATCACAATGAAGACTTAGATTGTTTGCAGAAAATGCTCGACGATCTAAGAGCCTGCCAGAACGACGCGGTGGAAAAAATAGTGAGTTCCCCTTTCATAGAAGAGGTTTGCCAGGCCCCGCTTCCATAAGGATTCAGGGCACCAAAGAGCAAGTTCGATAAGAGAAGAGGCCCTAGAGACCACCTCGACAATTTCAATGACCTGATGGAGTTGCACTAGGTCTGTGACTTGGCGAAGTGTCGTTGTTTCGCGGTCACATTGGTAGGGGATGCCAAGAGGTGGTACAAGAGACTCAAGGTGAACTCCATTAGATCGTAGTGATAATTCTCCTCGTTTTACTTGCAAAAAATTTAAGTGAGGAAACAGTTCGCAATGCCACTCAGCTACCTGAGCAACATTCGTCAAGAGAGAGATGAAACTTTGACCTCGTATTTAACAAGGTTCCAGAATGAGCAAGCAAAGGTCATGGATGCACCCGAAAAGTCAATTTAGACTTTGCTAATTGCAGGCATTAGGCCAAACACGAAGCTGTGGAAAGAGCTCCAAAGCAAAGATCACGTGAGCTTGACAACATTTTATCAGATGGCTACAAAGCACTAGCGAGTAGAAAGCTCGCTAGCAGCCCTAGCCAGAAGCTTGCCAAGAAAAGCCCCAGACAGGCAACAAAATCACCTATCAAATAAGTGGAGGGGCCAAGACCGCAATGATAGGGATCAAAACAAGTCCCAAAAAAGACAGATAACTGCGAGGACAGGCAACCCTTCCTATGGTATGCATAATATACCTCCGTCGTGCAAGACATAGCTCATATCTACGAAGTCTCCCATGAGACGAAAAGACTGCTCGCTCTAGAAAGAATGAGAGGGGCTCTAGGTAGAAGAGATCGACAAAAATATTATCGATACCATCAGACACAACACAAACCAGTGTCGGGCTTTGAAGGATGCCATTATCTTTGGTTCTGAACTTGAATATGATGAATCTGAATCTGATGAATTTTCAGGAAGTTCTAGTTCCTTCCTCTTTCTACCATTCAAATCCACTCTATCCATGTAAGGTACTAATTCTTTATCCAGTGATCGGTGACCTTGCATTCAAAAACAAACACACCAACGAAAACAAAAACAAAAGAAAAAAAAATAACCCAAATAAAAATAATACAAGTTAAATTAAATAACAATAATAACAATAATTAAAGCACACGTTATCAAGAAAGCTAAATAACTTAAAACAAATCCCCAACAACGGCGCCAAAAACTTGATGAACAATTATATAACCTCGCAAGTGCACGAATTGCTCTTGTAGTCTAGTGTGCAAAAGCAAGGGTCGATCCCACAAAGATTTGTAAGCAATTTACTAATTGATAATCCGAGGATTATACTGTTTTATTTAGACTTTTAGGCCAGATTTTAGATACTTCTTAGTTCATTTATGCCTGAATTGCTACTTAATTCTTTACATTTTTTGTTTCAGTCCAAAATGGACATTTTGAGCAAATAATAAGTGAATTGGAGTTTCTGGACTCAGAAGTAAGCGGATCTCAGAAGTTGAGAGAGTTCTGAAGCAGAGTAAAGCACTATGAAGCTTGTTTCCATGGGAGAGCATTGAAGATTCGAAGATTCAAGCAAAGAAACAAGCGGAGGGCAATTATGTAATTTCAGAATTCTTCATGAAGATTCGCCGCAACGAAGTTTGCTCTTCGCCGCGGCGAAATGAGTTACGCACAAGATTTAAGTTTACTTCATCGCCGCGGCAAGATTGCTTCTTCGTCGCGGCGAAGTCTGCAAATTCCAGTTTCTTTAAAACGCACAGTTTCATTTTTTGGCAAAGTCTTAGGTTTTTGGGCAAAATATAAAAGCAAAACTTTGCCATTTTGAGGAGAAGTCGCATTTTTCTTAGTCTAGAGCAGCTTATTTTCATCTTCCTTAGTTTAGATTTAACAAATTTTGGATTGAAAAGTGAGAAGATTTGGGATTGATCTGGTGGATTCTTCAACTAGGGGAGATATCTTCTCTTTTCTCTCATTTCAATATGTTGAACCTTGAGTTTATTGTTTTTCTTGTTTGTTGTGTTGAATTAGCTATGAAATAACCCATTTTGGTTAGGGTTTTGATGTAATTCGAATTTTCATGGATTGAGTAATTGATTTTTGTTATTTTCATATGCTATTGTATGGTTTGTGTGGTTATTCTGATTTTATTGCTTTTAATTGATGAACATGATGAGATTGAGAAATGAGTCATGTTAAGCTTCTTAGGTAATCACCATTGTAGTATTGAATGCTAGAGATAGATTTAAGAATCAATGAAATCAATCTAGGATTCCATGTGCTTAATGAGCTTAGAACTATTAATCTTCAAATTGTTGGGTGCGAAAGTTTAATAGAGAAAAGTAGGAAAACATAGCCTGAGAAGGTATGTTTTACAATTTAGAGAATTCGATTTACAATTAATGCATGTGAATATGGAAATAGCATAATCCGTAGGTTTAATCCATAGAGTCCGAATGAAGTCAAAACCCTACCCGTTTGCTTAAATTGATATTACCTTGTTTTTAATCTTGCTTTCATAATTTAGCTTTGAATATTTAGCAATTTTTATTTTAGTTTTAAGTTTAATTTTCTCCCATTAATCCAAACAAATTCGATTGCTCCAACTCGAAAACAGTAGAAAACTTAGTGCTTAGCAACCAATCCTTGTGGGAACGATACTCACTCATCACTTTATTACTTTGTGCAACTAGTACACTTGCTATTTATGCATGTTATGGTAACAATGCACAAGTTTTTGGCGTCGTTGCCGGGGATTGAGTTTTGTGTTAACATTAAAATTTTCTTATGTTAGCTAGATTGGAGCTTTATTTTTGCTTAATTTTTGTTTGTTTAATTTTTGTTATTCTTTTAGGTTGGTTTGTGATCTCACTCTTTCTATTTTTTCTGTGTAGTTTATACGAAAAGCAAGACATCAGCCAGTGGTTCCTGTTGATCCTGAGATTGGAAGAACCACTAGAAGACTGAACAAAGAAAGAAGAGAAAGAGAGGCTACAGTGGAACCGGAGGTCATAGTTGTAGAAATGGCAGAAAATAGAACACTAAGGGAGTTTTCAGTTCCTTCAGTTGATGGCAGTGGGTCGAGTATCACTAGACCAGCAGTACAAGCCAACAATTTTGAGATAAAGTCAGCAATCATCCAGATGATTCAGCAGTCGGTACAGTTCAGGGGAGATTTGAAAAAAGATCCAAATCTACACATCGCCAATTTT